GAGTTTAGGTGTCATCGCGTGATTTTAGTGTTAGATCTGGTTTTGATGCGGAGGTGATAGGCTTGTGTAAAGGAAGTGTGATCAGACATGAAATTCTCTTCGAAACGAGTGAGTAAGGTTGTGGCCAAGCACTCCTCCAATTCTGAAAATTTCATGGACAAATGACAATCCTGGACGTAGATTTCTCGGTTGTAGACACTATGGGGTATGTATTGTTTCATATATTTTTTTGCTTTTAATTTGCCAATTTCTTATTATGTAATTTTTTTTAACTTTAATTTTATGAAATGCAGTCCTTATTTCGAAATCCTTGTAAGTTTTTCGATTGGTATGATCCCGAATTTTCCAGCAAGGCGAATATTGTGATTTTGGGTCTGTTGAAGAAGACCAACAAACAAGAAAAACAATTGATGTGTAGATGGATGTTAAAACTGATTTTAGGCATTAGTTTGATATGTAACGTGATATTGTTCTTTTATTTAGTGTGTCGTTGAAAATTTTTTTGTGAATGTAATTGTTATTAACGCAAGGTGTTTTGGTTCTAGGGTTCTCATTTTGTGGATTAGTTTGGTTTGGCGTTTTAGTGATGTATGTTTCTGCTGAATTAAAGATATAATATATATTATATATATATATATATAATATATATTATATATATATATATAATATATATTATATATATATATATATATAATATATATTATATATATATATATATATATATCTTTGTGTATGTTCAATTGACTTGTCCTTTTTCCATAAAACTACAGTTACATGGAATAGGTAATATGATAACAAAACACGAAATAATAACATAAAGGCATAACATAACTAGTGCTTCCTTGATCATTAAACACAAACACCATAGTGTTTCATTGTTTCAACCAACAACCACAATAACTTAAGCTAACCACAAAAACACAAAACAGTCACTACTTTAAGTTTGGTTGAACAACCACACAAGCACCAAAACACAAAACAATCACTACTTTAAGTTTGGTTGAACAACCACACAAGCACCAAAACACAAAACAATCACTACTTTAAGTTTGGTTGAACAACCACACAAGCACCAAAACACAAAACAATCACTACTTTAAGTTTGGTTGAACAACCACATCTCGTATTTCTACTTCTCTATCGTTGTGGTTGGGTTAGGCTGACGTGTCCGGTGGGAATTGGACACGTGCCATCACATCCGGATTTTTGGGATGTGACAAAATGGTATCCTGAAAACTTCACTATCAAGACATACAACCCAAGGCATAGATGTACCAGGACCACCAAACTTAAAGTAGTGACTGTTTTGTGTTTTTGTGGTTAGCTTAAGTTATTGTGGTTGTTGGTTGAAACAATGAAACACTATGGTGTTTGTGTTTAATGATCAAGGAAGCACTAGTTATGTTATGCCTTTATGTTATTATTTCGTGTTTTGTTATCATATTACCAATTACATGTAACTGTAGTTTTATGAAAAAAGGACAAGTCAATTGAACATACACAAAGATATATATATATA